ATCATAACATTACAACAAGGAAATTTCTAAGACATGTGACTAAGCTGAAAATGCAGGTAAACTATGAATAAATAATTTACATGAATTTAAATAAAAGTAAAATTATAATTTTTATCTGTCTGTATAATATTTATTTAGGGCCTCGGATATACAGGATTTCCATGAGATTATATGAAAAAAAACATGATATAAAGTATAGTTTTTGTGATAAATAAATAGGATTGATCACCTTATAACAGACTAATTAATAGTCATTTTTATATTAGTTGAATTCACATAAATTATCTAAACCAAAGAGCAATTTTATATGGAAAAAAGTTAGTCTACAACTTTGACCTCGATCCTTTTCGCTCCGTTAATAGAAAAGAATTTAGAAATTTATAATTTTAGAACAGTTTAAAATTAGAAATACTTTTTTTAAGAAAAAAAATTATACTTTTCTTAATATAAAATATTATATAAATATTCATAAGTAACTATAATCGATTGATCTAATTATTATAACGTATAGTAGGCCAATAGATACGATAAACTAATTTATATTTTGTAGGAGTATTTTATTAAGATACTTTTTATTAATTTAGTTTTTATTTTAATTAAATAATTTAGTTATATAAATTAATTTCTAATTTAATTGTGTATTAATATAATAAATAACTTTATATCATCATAAAAATTGAAAAAGTTTTTTTTTTCATTTTATTATATTCATTTGATTAAATATGGTTAAATGTAGTTTGGTTTTCATTTTAAATAATAATAATATTATTTTTTATTACAATTTATACATTAAACACTACATATATATATATATCCTTACACACTCCAAAAATAGATAAAAATGTACATTCTTTAAATATATTTCTATATAAAAATAGAAATTGTATAGAAGGAAAATGCTTTTTCTATTCATATATATTTCAGGTATATGTAAAAATCAGTAAACAAATATCAATAAATGACTCTGTTTAAATGTTTATGTGAATATAATCCATTTAACATACGAGATCACCATATAAAGAAAAATATTGCTAACTAAAATTAAAGGCAAAGGGAAAAAAACAGATATAATATCATGCACATTGAGAGAAACTATAGAGAGAGACAATAAAAACTAAAATCAAATCGATATCCATGCATTAACTCAGTCACTTTATTAATAAACAAATAATAATAAAGTATAACTTTTAATATATAAATTATGTGAGAATACTATTATATGACTCTATAACATCACCCTGATATAATTAATTAAATACATAAAAAATTAAGAAGTATTATCAATTTGATTTTGCCTTATATAAACAGTACAATTGGCTTTTATTACGATCATTTTAGTAATTACCTACAGTGATAACAATAACCGAATGATAACATTAAGCAAGATAGGTGACTATTAATACAATCAGTAAAAAATTTTAATTTTATTCACTCTGACATTAAAAAACAACAGGTTAAAACAATGAAAAGTATAGAAAGTTAAGATTTATCAGTTAATTAACTAATTTTAAGTTTATTTTAGTAGCTTATATGATATTATCGAAATACGATACATACATACACTTACATCTGCATATAAACAAACACATACGGTATATATTCTGTGAATAGTTTATACTAGAGTTTATATTAATTTTTTATTATTAAATTATTTAGATAAATTAATATAAATTACAGGTTTTGATAGAATATAGATGTTCTTTTATAACATGTATTAAGAAATAAATATATAAGCAGAGCATGTAATTAAAGTTATTGCAATATCTAAAAGATATCAGAAAATAATGCAAAATTTTTCCTTTAATAACATTATTAACTTTAAATAAAGATTAAGTAGTATATACGATTAGATTATTTTATTAATGTTTTAAACTTTACAGTTAAGGATTATTCATTACACTTTTAAACTATACAAAATGAATTAAAACATTCGAAATTATTGATTAAAATCAGAAACAAAATTTTAGGGAAATTTAAGAGTAAAATAGGTTTAATTGTGTGTAACAAATTAATTATATCCGAAGAGATACGCATAAATATGAATTTCGAACAATAGATTTGAATATAATTTTAAATAATGCTTATAATTAGACAACCTACTTTCAGATAATAAACTTCAATAAATCAGGATAAATCTTTAAAAATTGATAAGATGTGTTATTAAATTATTAAAAAATAAATAAAAAACAAAAATAATTGAGGAAAAAATTATAAAATATTAGAAAAATACAGCTTCTTGAGCAATGAATTATTATATAAGTAAGTAGTCTTTAGTCATTTATTATTTTATATAAGTATATATTAAGAAAAAGTAATAACATTATTGATGCATTATCACTTATTGAATTATATAGGGTGGTCCAAAAGTCACGTAACAGCGATATATTAGTTTTATTATTATTTATTCAGGGGTAAAAAAAATTTTCAGCATTGCACAGGTGTATGCATGTGTTGATACTTGTTCCAGCGCTAAAATAATTAAAAGAAATCAATTTAAGACTATTTATCATTGTAAAAAGTATTGATTAATATTAAATTAAAGACATACAACTATTTTAAATTTATATTTTGTAATATTAAAAATGTTATGTTTAAATGTTATAATGAAAACAGAACTGATAATTTCGACTTTAAAATTGATCGCTTCCGGAATCTAAAGATAAGATTTATTTTTCAGGAAGAAGTTTGAGTTTTATTCTATGTAAAATAAATAAAGAAATAGATTATATTCGATATACAATGAAATGTTATTTATTTTATCATAAAATTTAATCATCAATGCAGAACTTACATTTAAAAAAAATGAGAAAGGGGTCAAATGTGGTTGTAGAACACTTGCTTTTCCGGGGAAAAAATATTATTAAATCGATAAAAAACGAGTAAATATTATTCTTTATGTTTATTAATTAATTTATTAATATATGCGCCGGATATCCGTATCCGCGGATCAGTGCCGTAACTAGGCAGGTGCAACAGGTGCACCCGCACAGGGCCCATTTGGAAGAGTGTTCCAAAATGCACGTGTTTGTTTTATTATTTTCCCAAACCTAATTAATTAAGGGGCCTAAATGCAAGTTCTTGCACAGGGCACAGAAATGGCTAGTTACGGCACTGCCGCGGATATCCGAGGGAAAAAAAGATCCGTATTCGTATCCGTATCCGTTACTTTTTAGCGGATCTTTAACGGATCTTTTATCTTAATGAATTTCATTACTTATATGAAATTTTAAAGAGAGGTAGCAATAAAATACTAATAACTTCAATTCAGATCACTTTTTCTTTCTTAAAATCACATATTTGGCACATTTACGTTGCAAAACTTTTATCATGCAAAATTCATTTACTATCGTAAAATATTTCCATATTACACTACTAAACTTTTTGTCGACATTGTTTTTATTTTAATTTAACTCAACACTCTCCAAAAATACAAACGTAATCTACGCTATTCCGTGTCACACTAAACTATAAACAACACGCGCAGTGCAAGTCAAAACACGTCGCGTTACTAACGCAAAGCGTCAACTAGGGTTTCTTTCCCGGGTTTCCCGCCGTTTATTCCCTACGAGAAAAATCCCGGAAAATCTCGCATTTCAATAATAATTTATCATGTCAGGTTTTCTTTCTATTATTTATTATACGAAAAGTTGCATCTTGAAAACTCACCTAAGAGAGAAATTTTGGGGTTTCTTGCTGCATATTATTACCTATGTTTTACAAGTCTCTACTTGTTAGTTCATGTAATATCTATGTATTGTGTTTGCGCATCATTGAACAGCGGAGACTTGCTGAAAGTAAATATCACTCATCGCACTTTAGTTTATTTTTTATTTCATCTTTAGAAGTAAAATAGTATTTTTTTTTTTTCGTAATCATTAAAACTCTCAATGAAACGCTTTATTTTACTTTCATCTTATAATGTAAGAGAACATAAATTAATTGAGCCTAACGTGTCCGTATGGATGAGATTGGCCTACACTTTTAGTTACTTACTAGAAAATAAATTAAATTATTCAAATTTATGATATTCCTGTATGATCTTTTTTATCCATATAAAATTCTGTTTTACTATCTCATCCCGGAATTTCCCGGGATCCCGGGAAAAGAAATTATTTTTCCCGTAATCCCGCTGGAGGCAAATTTCCCGGGAAATGAGAAACCCTAGCGTCAACTATCGGTCCAAGGTCACACGCACCGGCGTTGACTGAGTACGAAAGTTGAGATCCGTATCCGTATCCGCGGATCTAGACACTAATGATTCGTATCTGTATCCGTATCCGCGGATATATATTTTTAACGATCCGGTACATCACTAATGATTATATTCGAAGTGGATTCCGATTGAAGATTTCCTCCTAATGCAATAAAATTTGTCCTGCAATGTGAGGAACTTCAGATCCAAAGAATTACTCCACAAGTAAAACAGCATCAAAAACAATGCTTTTAGTCGCACTATTAATTAAAGCATTGTTTTCAGAGTTATTTGAAAACAATGCTTTCGTTGACTGTCACAACCATACGACTGAAGTGATAAAGGTGCAGCTAATCTCCGTTCTTCATTACCTGAGATGTTCTGTTGTCCTTGCCAAATTCATGATAGGCTTGATTAGTGTCCTTAGTTCCCACAAAGCAAAAAAACTTAACCATGATTTCATAAAATGTCACAATGCACCCTTCAGATCATCAATCAATTACAATATTTCAATATTTTTCAATAATTTCCATAATTTTAATCAGAATAATATTTTTATTTTATTTTTTAAATTTATTACTGTACAGTGTATTTATTATCTGTTAAGATCCTTTGTTCCTTTATTCTCGTTTCTATCGCTCCACGCTATAGGATATTGCCCTAATAATTTGAATAAATATCTATTATTACAATAATTATTATATATTATACATTTAAAAATAAAATAATAATTTAAATCGAGATGATTTCTATATATACATAAATAAATTTTTTATATATTTTATAACTTTATTATAAATATTTACAGCCAAATCATGAAGTACAACTGCGTCCAAGCTTCACTGAGTAGGATCTTCCAACATTTAGGAAAATGCACTGCCAGACACCCTATACTGTTTATGCTGACTCCAGTTATAATCAGCGGAGTCTTCATGACGGGTGTCTTCAGAATGACAACAGAAAAAGACATCACAAGTCTTTTTGTTCCTTCGCACGGACGAGCGAAATCGGATCGAGCGGCAATCGATGAATTATTTCCAATGAATTTCTCCGTCAACTTCGATTTTGGTCGTCTTACTCGATTAAATGGTTTCGGTACCGTGTTGATTACCTCAAAAGATGGAGGATCAGTGCTCAGAGAACATATCTTCGCCGATTTAATCGAACTCGATCGATTGATCAGATCGATTACGGTCAACGACGGGAAAACATCAGCTAATTACTCCAGCGTATGCGCTCGAAGAAAAGGAATCTGTTTTAGAAACGAAATCCTGAATTTAGAAAAAAATCTAACTGCCATAAGAGAGAAGAAACAATTCATCAAATATCCTATCGACTTAGATCCTAAAACTTACAGGTGAGATCAAAAATCTAACTTAAGAAACACTCGATTTTGTTTTAAAATAAATCATTTAAAATTAGATTAAAAAATCGATCATAACGATCATCAGTTTTTATTTTTGAAAAAATATAAGTTATGGATATGATTTATAACTTCGTTTTAGTAAATTTTAATCGAAAATACATTTTCTCTTCTTAAATGTCACAAAAATAAATACAATATTTTTATGTGTTTCGGTTGCTGTCATATTTAAAAACGATTTATTAATCTTAATAGTCTATTAAAAATTATAAAAGGCAAGGTATTGTCTAAAATACTTTTTAAAAATACAAAATAAAAAAAAAATATGGAATAAACATAACTTTCCTTACAATTATACTTTATACTTTATTGTTCTTAGGATCAGAATTTTACTTTTTCGTAAATAACCTCAATTTTCATTCATCTTAAATATAATAATAATGTACTGTACTTACAATAGCATTAAATTGCAGTATATTTAATTCGTCAACAATTGATTTATAACTGAATGTAAGACCTTGTAATTTTTATCATCAATTGAAATGTTTATTCTATAAAGGAAAATACATTTATATATTTTTTTAAGATTAATTTTGATTAAACATAATCTACACAACTCAAGAATTTTATATTTTGTTTTTAGTTTTCACTTTTATGCGAAAGGTCTTGGAGGAGTAACTACGGACGAAGAAGGACGAATTTTAAGCGCTAAGGCAGTTCGATTATATTATTATCTATATTCCGACAAAGGGATATGTTTAGAATGGGAAAGAGCTTTTCTTCATACATTAACTCATGCACAATTTGATAATCTGACCATCAGTTGGTTTGCATCAGAATCAATGGCTAACGAAATCAACAGAATCACCGAATTATCACTACCGTTGCTCAGTGTTTCTGTGGCGTTGATGTTGACTTTTGCCATTTGTACTTGTCTATCTTCCGATTGTGTCCGTAGCAAGCCATGGTTAGGAGTAACTGGATGTCTGTCTTCCGGTCTGGCCGTTGCTGCTGCTTTTGGTTTCGTCATGCATTGTGGCATTCAGTACATAGACATAAATATAGCTGTACCTTTTCTAATGTTGGGTAAGTCGAAATAAATAACGAATGATTATGCAATATCATTTAGGTTTGAAGCAATTTTAATTAATTCTACTTTTCTAATTAACAGGAATCGGTATGGATGATACATTTGTATTGTTGGCAGCGTGGAGAAGATCGAATCCCAAAGATAGCGTAGAAGACAGAATGGGTGCATCATATTCCGAAGCAGCAGTTTCCATTACTATCACTTCTGTTACGAACTTCGTGTCTTTTCTAATTGGATTAACAACACCATTCCGAGCCGTTCGAATCTTCTGTCTTTATACTGCAGTTGCCATTTTGTTTACCTATATTTATCAAATTACTTTCTTTGGAGGTTGCATGGCTCTTAGTGGTTATAGAGAAGAACGAAAACTTCATCCATTTACTTGTTTGCCAGTTTTATCCAAATATAAATCTGGTAAATGTTTTTAAATTCTAAATTAAGATCTTTAAAAAATCAGTAATTAAATGTTTATGTAATTTATTTTTTTTTAGAAAAGAAGAACTGTTTATTCAGGTGGTTTTGTACAGGGGGAGATGACGACGATGTTACTGAAATGCAATCAAATTTTTTGATGGACTTCTTTAAATATAAATTAGGATCGGCTCTATCTTATATCCCTATTAAAATAGCTGTTTTGATAGCATTTTCAGTTTACTTAGGTTTTGGGTTATGGACTTCAACGATGGTAGAAGAGGGATTAGATTATAGGAATCTTTATCCGTACGATTCCCATGCTGTCGTATTTTCAGATTTAAATTATGGATATTTCACGGAATATCCCCATAGAATACAAGTTGTCATCAATATCACATTAGATTATTCTAATCCAAATGTACAAAAACAAATTGAAGAACTCACACAGAAATTTGAAAACAGTCCTTACATCGCTAATTCAAATTTAACGGAATCCTGGCTTAGGTAAATCTATTAATTTATTTAAAATAAAGTGCTAAATAACTTAATTTTTTTTATTTTTAAATATTTTTATAGATATTACTTGAAGTTTCTGAATGACTCAAGAACTCAATACATGCTGAGAGGATTCGATCTCACCGACAAACAAGAATTTATTGATGCTTTAGAATTTGTGTTTCTGAAATTTAAACCAGCAGAAAGATTTAGAGATGACATAATTTTTAACGAAAATCACACAGAAATTATTGCTTCACGATTCTTAATTCAGAGTGAAAATGTCAGAACTGCTCAACAAGAAAAATCCATGTTGTTAGAATTGCGTAGAATCGCTGATGAATCAAAGTTTCCTGTAACAGTTTACAATATGTGGTTTATCACTTTCGAGCCAATGTTAATGGTAAAAGAGACTAGTTTACAAGCTATCTGCGTTGCAGCAATTGTTATGATGATAATTTTCCTCATCTTTATTCCTAACGTAACATGCGCCATTTGTGTTGCTTTCTCCATAATATCCATAGAAATAGGTGTTTATGGATACATGTCAGCTTGGGGAGTTAAACTTAATCCAATATCGATGATAAATCTCATAATGTGTATTGGTTTCTCGGTGGATTTTTCGACACATATATCGTATTCTTATATAACGTCCACTGAAAAGACAGGAAACGAACGAATGCGTAGCGCTCTTTATGCTGCTGGAATGCCTATTTTCCAAGGTTCAGCATCTACAATATTAGGTGTAGCCGTCCTATGTTTTGCGCCTTCACATATTTTCGTAGTGTTTTCAAAGACAGTGTTTTTAGTAATGTTCTTCGCGGCAATGCATGGATTAGTGTTGCTTCCTGTGTTACTCAGTTTTCGTGAGAGTTGTTACAGTAAGAAACGCCGAGCCGCTTCTTCTAAGAAGAAAAGAGAATATGAACAAAAGACAGAAGAAATAGAAGAATTGTCGGGACTAAAACAAAATAAGGACGAATCCGAAGGTGATAGTGATGAAGAATCTGGTTACAATGGCGATAACACTAGAGAAAGTAAAGAATCATTACAAAGACGTCTTCAGAATAATTCAGACAAAATATAGTTAAATTCAGAGAATTATTGTGAGGTCTGTGGGTACTTTTATCTTAAATACCTATTCGCACAATGCAACTTTATTTTGAACTTTTACACAAAAAAGCACCATTATTGTTATATAATAAATAATTAGAACTATTTTAAATTAATTAAAAAGTTAAAAAAAACAATAATTGTTTTTGAGAAAAGAAAATAATAAACTTTCGACATTTTTATTTTTAAATCGACAGTGTTTATAATATATAGTAATGAATAAATTTAAATTTCAAATTAAGAAATGTACGAATAAGAAATTACGAGACATTATAAACATGTTAAAATTACTATTCTGAATAGTATTTAATTAATATTTCAAGATAAGAAATTCATTTTGTAATTATTGATAATGTATCAATATAATACATTATTTAAAGACAGCAGCGAATATGGATTGAGAAAGATCAGATGATGCTGATCGGTTACAAATGTGGGGCTTCACTACTCTCGAAAGCCATAAAAATATGAATCAAATCGATAAAATAAATAACAGATTTTTCAACATTTAAGAAATTTTCATTTATATCTACTTATTTTCTTTTTACTTGAAGCAGTCCCAAAATTTAGCTTTCATATCCAACATCCGGATCAAATAATTTCTATCTATATGAATATGGTAGCGAGCCGTAATAAAAGCTATAATTTTCTAGCTATAATCATTGATTATTAGAAAAATTAATTGCATCTAATCGATTGATCGAATACAATTAGCTTTCTAAGTAAATACGATTATAAAGTTGAGATACAGTAAATTGCGGAAAATTATTCCGTTTTAATTATCATAAACTACTAATAATTCGTACAGTTTAATTTACAATTATAATAATAAGAATTCAGCAACGAGTTGCTTAACTTTCCCGGCAACTTTTGATGGCGCTATCTGTTATATTTTATTTATAAAACAATTTATATTGTTAACTATTATAAAATGTCAAAAAGGTTAATGGCTGGGTTTTGTAAAACAAATTATAAATGCTAATAACAAAATTGTCATTAAGGGTGCGTTTACTTCTGAGCTAATAGTGCTACTTTCGAACACCGGAAGTGACGTCATTAGCATGTGTATTCGTGTTTACATGTCCAGTTCGAAAGTAAACGCGAACGCTAACAAGAAATATGGCGGTTTCCTGCAAATAGTATTGTCAAAGCTGCTATTTTAAATGTTACGTTACAGATATAACTACTTGATTCCGAATCGGACGAGGATGATTTTATTGTGGATATAATTGTAGAAAAATGAAAACAGAAAAAAGAAAAGTAAGGTAAAATAAAAAAGATAGAAACTTTTATTGAAGAGACTCTACCTTTTTATAAGCCAACCGATTTTAAACAACCTTAGACTTACAAGAGAATGTTTTGAAATTCTCCTCTAAAAAATAAGCCCAATTATAGACACCGAAAAATTACTTCCTCTGGAAGACGACCCGTGTCTCCTCAAAAGCAGCTTTTACGCTGTCTATGGACATTGGCAAATCAAGAATCATTCAGGTTTGTTTATACGAAGTAATATATGAAATTAGATGCAGTTTATAAGAGAATAGTAGATTATACATACATATAATACATATTTAAAGCAATTGTTTTACCCAGTGAATGGATGTGACGTTGTTTTGTTGTGGTGTAACTAAACTGAGTTCAAAATTAACAAATAATTGATATTAAATACAAAACACTTTTTTTTTTCTTTCTTTCTTTTCTCTAAGGGTATTGGCGATCGTTTTAATATGTTTAGACGGACTGCGTGGAATATTTTAAATAAAGTTGTTAATTCTTTCTTACAAGTTAGTGTTAAATGAAAATGAAAAATGATCTCTTGGCCATCACACAGCAGGATGATGTAAGAATAATGGAATTTTTTATACCCAATCTGGTTTTCCTGGAATTAGAGGCTCTATTGATGAAAAGCATATGGCTATTAAGACATCAACTGAAGAAGCAGTAGCCTATTTCAATAGAAATAAGTATTACTCTGTCATCATATAAGTTTAGTTTGTAATGAAAAAATGGTATTCAAATGATACAATTTCTTGAGAAGTCATTTCCCATATGTAAGTGAAAATTCATTCAAGTATACAAACTTATGTAATTTTGGATTATTATTAATGCTGTTCATTTCTTTACGATTTATTTAATGCTCTGAACATAACATTTCTGAAGATTCCAAATGCGTATTAGGTAAACCTCACTTTTAATCATAAACAATGAATCGAACTTAATTTTTTTCACATTAATTAACTCTGTTTATGAAAAAAGTCATCTAAAGCTATTGAACCTTACAATGAAAAAAAAATCATTGTAAACATTTTACACAACAAATAATTGAAATTTACCAATAAAAATACTTTCTGCCGTTTATTTTTCGAAAACTAATTCCATTTTTAGTACTTTGTACAGAAAGTAATTTTTTCATGAGAGCAGCCATATTGAATTAGCGCAAAGCTCGACAACGAACTAGCTAGCACTCCGAGCTTACCAATTTCGCTAAACATGACGTCACATAGCTCTAAAGTAAACGCCAATGAGTGTGGCACTCGGACGAAAGTATACAGGCTGAACGTGCTGATAGTAAAATTAGCTCAGAAGTAAACGCACCCAAAGTCTGATCGTACTGGTGATACATACGACCCCATTTATCCCCCACCCTCTCGATCTTTAATTATCAAAATTTAATAGCATCAACCCCTTTAATAAACAAACCTCCGTGCAAAATTTCAGAAATTTTCGACAAAAGGCACAGGAGTTACTAAACTTCAAACAGGGTGAACAAAATCGTGCCCCTCACACACACACTAACACCAATACATACAGAAAATAAAACCTTGATTTTTTTGCATTTCTCGACGTTTAAAGGTTTTCTGAGTCAAAACTGTAAAAGTATTTGGGGGTGACTTTTAATCGATCGTCATTGTCAATCAATTACTGATTGCTTTAATACACATATTTCTCTTAATATAGAAAAATAATAATATACTTTTGCTAATTTCTGATGTTTTACACTAGTCCTTTGTTTCGTATAGCAAGGATTCGCTTAACACGACACTTTTTCGGAACCTAATTACTGTGTTATACGATGGATACCTTTAATTGACATGACCATTATATTAAACGAATCAAACATTTTTAGCTTTACACAACATTGAATGGGGAGTTTATTATTCAGCATATTGTTAAGCTCTATGTAACTAAACTAAAAATATATATTCAGACAAATATTCTTAAATATAGCCTTAAACTTTTGTATATTATTATTATTATATTATTATTATTAAATTTTTGTAAATAATTCACCGCTGAAAACAATATCTAAAAACCTCAAAAGTATGTGTTTACTTGTATACAATCTGTCCCAGACTTGTTACTTTGTAAAAGTTAATTACTTGCATATTTATCAAGTAAAACATATGCAAGTACAGTAAGACCCCGCTTAACGCTGATTCAATATAATGCAGTATGCTCAAAGCCTAAAGAAAGCTCAAAATTTATGCTGATTTAAATTATCGTAGCATTTCATTGATTCTTATATAATAGGATTATTTGCAAACACAAACTAATCAGCAAATGATGGCAAAAAGGTGTACTTTCTTTTTACATCTATGTTTGTTTGGTGCAATTTTGAAAAAATATAACATCATGGATGCCATAGGAAATAGCAACTTCGCTTGGCAAGAATTAACTGATAAATGCACGAATTTATTGTGATATTAATATATATATATATATATTAATTACATACGTGCGTGCATACATATGCATACATAACACTCATAGACATACTCCAAATTACATATGTAATTTGTGAGTACGTGTATGAGTGTGAGTGAATACGTTTTATGTCTGTATATATCATTAAATCAAGTGTGGATCAGGGATGCTGAATTTCTGTTGTTATTTCTCTATAATCCCAAATTTGTAGGGTTAAGAATTTCATTGAGCAATTCCAATATCCACAGGTTAATAATCCAAGAAACTAATTTTACTTCATAGAATTTTTGTCATCGTGCACCTTTGAATGTTCGAATTGCTGGACATCACTGAACCCTTCAAGTTTGGGATTATAGAAAAAGAGCAAATAACTTTAAATCAAGATTTACACACAAAAATATTCTTTCCTGTTGTATTTTGAAATTTCATTTCAGCTTTTCCTCTTCCTTTTTATAAGCTAAGCTTGTAATAGTTAAAAAGATGAGAGGAAATACTATACTATGCAGTTTTCAATATGTTACACTATTTTGAATATGCTAATAGTTTTTAATATTTATCTATTTAGTATGTTAAATACACAATTTATGTTCTGTTTACAGTAACATTGTATAAATACTGTAAGGTCTCGTTTTATGCGGTGGATACGTTCTACAGAAAAGCGCATAAAAAAAGACTTTACTTGCCTTGAAATAGTAGGGATACGTTCCGTAATTTTCTAAAATTGCATAAAACCAAAACAGCGAGTTAAAATTAACTTAAAACCGCATAAAAAAGTTTGCAGAAATTAAAAGAAATAGGCTGCTTAATAAATTACTTCGAATGTCTGAAAGAAATTCATATAAAAGCTTAAAATAAACTTGTATTCAAACTTAATTCAGTTAATTTTATTGAAAAGTAATAGAGTTTTACATTTTTTTTGAATTTTTGGAATGTTTTTTAAGTCTCCAAATTTTTTAAAAATATTAAAAAATATACGGCCAGCTTCACCCTACTTTAAACCCTTGTCCTCCCGCGACGTTTATGAGAATGCCCCGGGAAATCTAACTCCAGCTGTGTTCAAGGTCATCCAGATGTATAAACTGATTCATCGGTGTTAAATTTCACAGAAGGGCGAGACAAAGGAAGTTAAACTTTGAAGCTTTTCTTCAAAATTAACGCATTTCTTTCGTTATTTTCAGTTTTAAGTATTTTTTATGTTTAATTACATTTATATCAAAAATTGCTAGGAACTAAAGCAATTAAGGTAGATCTAGCTGTCCTTTACATCCATAAAGGTTATATATCAGTGGAACAAATGGAGTGAGCTTTGAGCGTCCCACGATTTTTGGAGACTGTCTATACGCGGGCTTCCTAAACAAGCCTATATGTATGTTTGTCCAAAAAAAATTTGGATGAAATACAAACCGCACAACTTCAAAATCGCATTAAAAAAATCCGCATAAAACGAGACCTTACAGTATAGGGAAAGCGAAATGTAAAAACTCACCTAGGAAAAATTGCCCGCTTCTTTCTATGGGATGCATGTATTTGTTGTTGTGGTGTTGGCCGCTTGATCAACGGAACCACACTGTTCCGTGATTATTGCTCTGGAAGACTGTTTTGTCGGAAAAGAAGACACTTTTCCCACTCGGAGTTCGTCCAGTGCTGATGTTGCCAGGAAAACTCCGAGCAGTCCACAATGTTCTGCAGTGACAAGTGCTGCTTTTCCACCGCTCGTCTTCCAAACAGGTCGAATTGTCTGAGTCTGAAAATAAAATACATAGGCTATATTAATATTACCCATTTCTTACATTTCTGTATAAAAAAGAACATTGTTGATAAAATTTTCTTTTTACAAGAACATTAAATTCATACAAAATGATATGTTGAAAACACGCGGTACATTAAGAAAGTTGAGTACATTATCAAATAAAATGTCACTTTGGGACAAAAATCTTTAAGGAAGAATTTCTTCAATTATTCATGATGAAAAATTATTATTATTCAATTCTAATTAATCTGGTTCCTCTGTATGTAATCATTAATAAGCCATTACTTATATTTACTGTTAAATCATCACTCTCTTGGATCTGTTAGAAGGAAAA